TCTCATTTCTGAATGGAGTGTTAAATTATGTTGTTCCGAAGGATCTGTTGTCTTCTCAGCAGGTATTATCATTCATCAGAAATCATCTCCCATTTTCTCCATATTATTACTGCATCATCACTTATTCCCCTTACAGCGAACTCTGCTAGTTAAATTTGTCTGTGAACATCTTGTGATATGGCATTCGGGCACAACTCTTTTGGCATCTAATGAGTCATATCCGATGGTTAAATACGGTAAAAGTGTTTGTATACAATGAGGTGTGTATATCATCTACTTTCTTCCAGTTGTTATTGAGAAAGAAGTCAATAGAAATCTGGACAAAATCTGGGCCCTCTGCAACAATGATAAATTCTTGGCCGAGGAGTTATTGGATGCGATTTCAACTGGTTTTACTCATTTCTTAGTTCTATATGCTCTTCATACTTTGAGGTAGTCTCCTCTATTGTATGGTTTCTAAATGATATGTTGAGAATTTACGTTTAGAACTCTAACAAAAGTGGGTTTGCGAGGAGATCTTGCTAGATTCTACTACATACCTACTTACATCAAAATCAAAGAACGATTCGTACGTTTTTTTCTTTTGAGACATATGTCGTGCTTTATACACAACATCTCAGCAGCTAGCAGAAAATGGGAACACTACGACATTCAGCGTTTGCTCCTCTTCCACTGAAGATCTTCCCAGTTTTGTTAACTCCACTTCCAAGGTATCATTGTTGTTGTCTCTGTATTTGCTCAAGGCTCTTGTGTTTTGATATTATTTTCATTAGGGACAATTTCTTCCCTGTTTTGTCAGTTCGTGCTATGTACAGGTTTTCTTAGTTTCGTTGTGCGTTTTGCTTTTTTCAAACTTCTAATTTTACAAACTTTTGCCGTCCCAGGTTCTCCTTTACTGTTGTTATCTGAGATTGTAGTAGGCAGCTTTCTTAACTCAGCTGTTGGGAAATCTCTTAATCAGTCACGCTTATCAAAAACTCTAGGTTTATCATATTTTCTATTGAGAATGTGTGATTTGTTTTTTTTAGAATTTGCCCGCTGAGGGCTCACGGCAGAGTGACAACAATATGCCGAATTCTCAAAGTGTTAGCCTTCCATCACTTGCTGCTGACAGTAGGCCGCAGTTTAATAGCGCTTCAGGGAGCGCTCAGAATAACAATTCGGCTCCTGTCGCTGAGGTGCAAACGCAAAATGCTGCTGAATTATCGTATAGGCGAAGTGGTAGTCTTGAGGATGTGAATCCTTTGCCAGTGAAACGGTTGAAAGTAGAGCCAGCTGCAGTTGGCAATACTCCTCTGAAGGTAGTTCCCGCATATATGAAAAAAACGTTAGTTTAAACTTTTAGTGAAGCAGTTTCAGCTGTTTCCAAGAGATCGACCTCCTGATGATATACCTGTTTACGACTACAGCAAAGTTAAACGTGAGAAGTTTGATGTGAAATTTGCTCAGGTAACTTTTAACAGTCGAGCCCCGCGTAGTACTTTACATGAATTTTCTTTTAGTTGGAGACAGAGTCTCGGATTTCCCACAGCTCGTCATCTCATCATATATCTGGTTCGGCATCGGCTTCTGTAGACGAATGGGATGAAGTGTTGCGTAGTATTGACGCAGACCCCGCGGTTCCGCCTCAGTACAAAGTCATGTTTAGGTCAGCATTCTCCCTTTCATTTTTGGTAAGATGTCGTGTTTTTTAGACATGCTTTTGATTTAGGTGCCTTGTGATGAGTAATCGGGATTTACGAGATCATAACAAGATTTTGAGATCCCAGCTAGAGAAACGTTAGGTAGAGACAATTATGTATGCGTTGTCGATCTCCTCTCGATTCCCTCTCTCCTCTTTGTTATTTGAAGCTTCAAAGTATTTGAGTCACACGTTATTGCTGTCTTGAAGTCTATACTTGCCAGAATTTGACCGTTTTTTTGAATGTTGTGACTACTGTAATTGTTGACCAAATGTGTTGTTGTTTTGTACAAAGGTTGTTATGTGTTTGATGCCCGTTTGTTTTTGTTACCTATTTTAAATAAAGGTTTTGCTTATAAGTATTATAAGCTTGGTACATTCGCCTTCGACTCATAGGAGTTTTTCTCA